CCTCCTCCTCCTCCTCAGACTCTTGTTATATAACCAGCGGAAGAACCATGGTAGAAACATTCTGATAATAATAACCAACTGCCCGTAAAGTTATGGTTAGGTAGTTGCCAGTCACATACCTCTGGTAGAAAAACTGCAACTAGCCCTAGCAGGGTTTAGCTCAGTGGATACAGGGTTGGCCTGCAGACTGAAAGGTCCCAGGTTCAATTCCAGGCAAGGGCACGTGCCAAGGTTGCAGACTCAATCCCCAGTAGGGGCCATGCAGGAGGCAACCGATCAACGATTCTCTCATCATTGATGTTTCTATCTTTCTCTCCCTCCACTTCCTCTCTGAAATCAATAAGAAAAATGTTCATTTTTTAAAAGAAAAACTATAACTAAACAATTAAATCAACTACCAAGAGCCGAATACTTCTGAAATAACTGTTACTGCCAACAATTTCTACAGCCTTAGCCCGCATGGAAACAGGCTATTGTAGATACTACTTGGAACCATCCAAACTTTTAAGGAATTTCCTGGTTTACTCTATAGACTCGCTTAACAATCTATGTGTATAATTATATAAGAGGGAAAGACTGAGTTGTTATAAATCATTAGCTCTAATGCAGGCTTGCTCATTTCTCTGCCTGGTTAGGGAATATGTTCAAAGAAAAACAAAGATAGAGAGAATCTGATGGCTGAGGCAGAGAGGTGGGGGTCTGGGACAGAGAAACACGGCGAGAGCAAAAGTTCCCTGCCTTATAGTAAGTGTTACCCTCTAAAAACGGGCTATTGAATCCAGATGTTTCTCTATAGGTGAGGGTCTAGACTACAGACAATGCAGGAAAATGTGCTGAATCTTCGCTGAGTGGGAAATACAAATCCTCCCGCAAATAGCTCTCGGGAGGAAAAAATCAAATTCCTCCACTGAGAGGAATAAAAAGATACTAAAACTAAATGGCTCCCGTGATCCCATCTAGACTGATAGCTGAACTCCTCCCAGATGGAACTGTATTATTCAACATCTCCTGGCCACGTGGAGGTTCAAAGTGTAGTCGATTAGCTTTGCAATTGTTCTCCAATCGTTAATCTTCCTAGCTAGCCTGTTACCTTCTCAAGAGCAAGAAAGCTGGACTTCATTGGACAACCATCATCCTTGGCTGCCCTGCCCCTGCCCTGAGGCAGCAGGGTGAAGTGCTCTGCACATTTGAAGGATGGGTTTACATCTGCAGTTAGAAATCTCCTGTGAAGGAAATGGAACTGGGATTATCTAAACCAGTGGTCAACAAACTCATTAGTCAACAGAGCCAAATACCAACAGGACGACGATTGAAATTTCTTTTGAAAGCTGGAAACCAACTTCTGCACATGGGCCATGAAGTTTCAATCACCCTGTACGTGTGCGCCCGCATGTGGTGTTTTGTGGAAGAGCCACACTCAAGAGCCACAGTCTGCCAACCACTGATCCAGAGCCTCTCAGACCTAGGGGCTGATTTCTTCTGGCCGTTGACCGTTTTCCTGCCTAATCCGTTTCTCCACGCAGTGGACATACAGAATCAAATTTACACAAGCACACTACTAAATACCAATGTGTCATATTAGCCAATTCCACCAGACAAAAGCCAAGAAAGGCAGTTGTTCAGATAATTCGGGGAGAGAAGTAACAATGACCTGGTTTCCCTGGGTCATTCAGGGAGAAAAACAGGGCTGATCATGGAGAGCTCCAGTTCTGGAGCATCATTAGAGCGTACTAGTGCTTCCTCCGAAAGTGGATTTGCCATGTTCTTACAGAAAAATATTCAGGGAAAGCCATTTCACCTTCAGCATGGTAATATTCCACTACTCTATAATAATTACAGTGCAGAGTGCTTTCAATCTGGAACTCAAAAAAAAAAAAAGGTGAAATGAAATGGGCATCGTAACACAACCAGCACAGGGCAGAAGTGAAGCTTGACCCTCACTCTCCGGGCTCCAGTTCAGCATCCTTCCCACCACCCCTCTCTGTACTTTGTTGTTGTTGTTGTGTTGCTTACGTAAGACTATTGAATGGTATGACCTTGGGACATTTCAGGGACAACATCTACGTAATGCATTTCATTGTGCTTGGGTTCCGGACTACAAGTTTGCAGCTCAGAAAAGAGCATGGTTGATACTAATGTCTAAGTTCACAACAGAAAGACCTGAAGTACCTTTGCACACTGGTTTGTTTTTTCTTCCCTGCCATCTCTCGTCCTGATGCGTGTCCTTTCTGAAGCTAAAGTCATACCACCAGCGAACAGAAAATCTCAAAATAACAATGACCAAACCCCCAAGCGCGCCAGCCGGACTCAGCAGGGAAATGCTTGGAGAATGATTTCTCAAAGACAAGGGCAGGTCCCTCAAAGAGGCGATGCAGGAACTCCCTGCTCGGGATGTGTGCTTCTCCTTAATGTTTCCCAGTCTGCACTTGCTCTATTGCTCCTCCCTGAACATGAAGTAATTTTTTTAAAATATATTTTATTGATTTTTTTACAGAAAGGAAGATAGAGGGATAGTTAGAAACATTGATGAGAGAAATAATCGTTCATCTGCCTCTTGCACACCCCCTACTGGGGATGTGTCCGCAACCAAGGTAATTGCCCTTGACGGGAATCGAACCTGGGACCTTTCAGTCCACAGGCCGATGCTCTATCCACTGAGCCAAACCGGTTTCGGCCATGAAGTAATTTTTAGCAAAGAGCAAGCTATAGGAGAGACTAACATGTTCTTGCATGAGCTGTCCATCACAAATAAAAGTAAGGCTACTCATTAAGACAGGAGTTTTTCCAACATAACTATACCTCCCTTTATGTAAGAAGGAATGTGCTCCTGGATGGAGGGGGGGGGGGAGTAATCAACCAGATATGTGTAAAGAGAATCATATTCTTCCCATTTTCTTACATTACCATTTCGAAACTACCTTATCATTACTCTGACTGAGCCATGGGACTCCTCCCTCCATCCTCACACCGGATAAGCAGGTCAGTAATAATAAAAATGTCAATGAACTCAAGTGGCTCTACCTTACAGAAAATGTTACAAAGCATTCTATCATTTTTTACTATTTTTAATGTTTTTTTTATTGATTCTAGAGAGAGAGAGATAGACACATCAATGATGAGAATCACTGATCAGCTGCCTCTTGCACGCCCCCTACTGGGGATTGAAGCCCAAACTCAGCAATGTGCCCTGACTGGGAATGCAACCTTGACCTCCTGCTTCATGAATCCACGCTCAACCACTGAGACACACACACACACTCACACACATACACACACAGGCACACGCACACACACACCAACCCCGGGTCAAATTTTTTTTCTTATGTGGATAATTGCCCTTAATTCCTTTAAGTAGGGTGTGTGCACCTGCAGTGGGTTGCCTAGGGCCACGGGGCATGATAGATGGAGAAACATAAATCATGGTGAGTGATGTGGCCTTGACATTGATCCAGGTTTCCAGGCAGAGCTCTTTGGCCACTCTCCAGTGAGAATCCCGTTCTTGCCCTCCTTGGCACAAGGCACTAGTTAATCTATGGCACAGGGCACTCATTAACCTATGTCATCATTACATGAATGGAAAGTTTGTTCCCTCATGGCTCTCTCTGCGTGTCACAAGGACAGGAATTTAATTCAAGACAATAAAGGTTACCTGCAAGAGATAAACTTTTCCAAAAACAATCATTACTTGGATTCATTTACAGCTCTGGGACTAGAGTGCCACATACTTCAGTACCTTCTCTTAAAATATCCCACATGTGTGGTCACAGACCAGCAAAGAGGAAAAAAAACAAACTTGGCCAGTTAGCTGAACAGATTTCCGTATCTGATCCCAGTATATGAGCATCAAAATAAACTTTAAAATTAACAAACAAATAAAGCTTGGATTTTAAACTGAATCTTCCACCGAGATCTGAGTTAAGGGAAGTGACAGGCCCAAGGTCACAAAGCCATTGACAGGGCATCCAGACCCACACCCAAATACCCATCCCTAGGACATACTGCAGCATCAGACTGCTGTTTGCATTTGCTGGTTGAGATAGGATGAGACATCTGATAGATCTCAGCTGAAGGAAATACGAATTCTTGATCCTAATGGGCACTGAAAATAGGTCAGCAGGTATTATTCAAAACAGATCCAGACTCTTAAATCTGGAGGCACTCACTGGGTTCAAAGGAAGGGTTGAATTTTGGAAATAAGTCACTTGATTAAAAAAAAACAAAAAACAAAAAAACCTGGGTTACTGGAGGAAATCTAGACTTCGCCTGCCAATCATCAAAACGAAGTGGTGTCAAAAAGAAGTTTCAGGGTATGTATATTTTTTAATGAAAAATCTAGGAACAAATCACTGCTACTATTAAAACTCTCGCAGATGTAAAGCTCCCTTGGCGCCGCAGCCTCTCAGAGAAACCCTACAAAAGCAGCCCGGCAGGTCTCCGGCAGCCACACCGACTCGGATGCACTTTGGGAGCCCCGTGTGCAGTTCTAACCCCAATCGCACCCCCTCAGCAGCACCCTCAGAAAGTCCTGAATTGCTCCGCTACACTTTTCCAGGTGCAGCGTCTGGGTTCCGGGTCCGAGGGGCTGGGGCGAGGCCTGGGAGGGGCAAGTGTTGCTCGCAGAACACGGACATGGACCGCTCCTGGGAACCCTCTCCCCCAGGAGAACGCCCAGCCCACCCCACCGCAGGGGACCCCGCCGCCGGACCCCGCCGCCAGCCTCCCCGGGTCCCTCCGCGGGACCGTCCCGCAGGCTCCCCTCGCGCAGGCGTGACCGCCCCGCTCGGGGCACAAGCCCCGCGTTCAGCGGCTCCAAAAGCGGGCGGTCAGCTCCCCGAAAACCGGGACGGGCTCTAGGGGTGCATGCCCTCCTCCCCGGTCCCCGCCGCCCGCCTTTCCCCCGGCCCCTCCAGCCCAGGCGGCCCGCCCTGCGGACTCCCTGCAGACGCCCCGCCACCTCCCGCGTCGCCGACCCCGGGCGCCGGGCCGCCCGCCGCGCTCACCTGGGCCGGCGCCCGCGCTCGTGGCGGTGGAGTTCCCGCAGCCCATCGCGCCGCCGCTGGCCGGACAAGCGGCGCTCGCAGCCGGCGGCGGCGGCCGCAGCTCCCGGGGGCGGAGACGGAGGCGGAGGGAGGGCGGCGCGTCCCCAGCGGCGGGGGCACCGGGGCCAAGGGGGCGCGCGCGGGCCAGGGCGCGGCGGAAACCGCCCGGCACCCTAGCCCCCGCCCCGCCCTGCCGGGACCCCGCCGGGCCCACCCGTCACCTTGGCAACAGCGCGCCGGCCAATACGCAGCCGCCTAACGGGCTGCCCGACCCGCCATTGGTCATCATTCAGAGGGGGCGGGAGTTTGAATTGGGTTTGGGGGCTGGGGCGAGGCTGAGGGGCGTGGCTGGTGCAGAAGCCAGACCGTGGTCGGCAAACTCATCAGTAACGGAGCCACATAGCAATAGGACAACGATTGAAATTTCTTTGGAGAGCCACATTTTTTAAACTTAAACTTCTTCTAACGCCACTTCTTCAAAATAGACTTGCCCAGGCCGTGGTATTTTGTAAAAGAGCCACACTCAAGGGGCCAAAGAGCCGCGTGTGGCTCGAGAGCCGAAGTTTGCCAACCACGGGCCTGGGAGCTCGGGATTCTCACTTGCTCACCCTGCACTACCTTTTTGCCTTCTCATTTCCTTCCCCAATAAAATGGCATTGACTGAATGATGCTCAGATCTGAAGCCAAACCGAAAGGCATGCGTGCTTTAACGGGGAGCTAATGCTTCTCTGTCCCTGCGTCCACACTGGCTAATGAAGAACCGAAATGTTCCCAATGTTGGTCATGTTAACTATAATAATTTCTCTTTAAAAATAAATGCCACCATTTCCGTAACTTGGATACAGGACCTCCACTCTGAGTAAGAAGCAGAACTGTGAATGTACACGGCACCTTTCAGTCTAAGAGTTGAGTGAGTGTTAATGGAATCAGATCGTCCAGGCTACAAGTCCCGCTCTGCCCCTCCCGACCTCATCAGAGTTACTTAACCCGTTAGTGTATCCGCTGTTTTACCTGTGAAATTGCAATACTAACTCAGGTACACCTAACCCCTAACACAGTGCCTGCCAGTGCTGATCCTTTAAAAAAAAATAAAAATAAAAATAAAAAAAATAAAAAAAAAAGCCAGCTATTCTTCTTTTTCTTAAATCTATTAGACATGAATTATAATTCCCTGAAAGTAAGGACTGGATGATTTATCATAATGTCCTGGCTCATAGTACAGACTTGGTAAATGTTTTGTGAGATGAATTCAAGCCAAGAATTAAATCTCCATTTTAAACCCATCTAATATTTATAGAGAGCCTAGCCTGTGCCAAGTCTTTTGTTAAAATTAAGTTCCAAGGATACAAACATGTGGGAGCCAGTCTAACCAGGCAGACTGATTATAAGCAAATTAATTGCAATATAACAGGAATGTTAATGGAGGAATACAGGGGGCTTTGGGAGCCCGGAAGGGATACTGGTTCAAAGACTTCCTAAAACCATCCTGTGGAGTTTAGAGAAAGCTTGAGGCACAACCAAGGCCCTAGCGGGTGGTTCAATGTGCCCTGCCAGGCAACAGCCAGGACTGGGCAAACATGTCACTCAGGAGCGTCATCCATCCTTTGAAAATTAGCTATACCTGGGCATGTGCTGGGATGGTAATTAATCCTTGAACAAATAGGGTGTGTTTGAGTTGTTTGACTTCTAGAAGCAGTTTTTCTACCCTTGCCTCCATTATATTAGTTCAGTGGCCACCCCCGGACATATCCAGAATTAGCATGGAGGAAGGGGGGAACTTTCAAACAGCCAAAAGAAATACTCTTGCTTATTTCTGGACTGACACCGGACTCCAGCTCTAAGATACTCACAAGGAAGAGAAAAACAGACCCTGACATCCAGAAACTGGCCTGACATAGCGAGGCCATTGAACACAGCGTTCTCCCACTACACACAGCTGCACAGACACCAATATCATCAGACAAGGCCACTCTACAACTGGGCTGAAGTGAGGCCAAAAAAGACCACTCAGCAATCTTGTCTAAGTTATGATAAAAACAGTGTCACTGGTAAACCACAAAAACACCAAACTCCACCCCATCCTGGCTAAGAAGGATGACGGTTACTTGCTTCCAGTTACACTTTTAACTCCGTTCCAGTCTTCCTGCTTCATAGAAGAGATTTATTAAGAATTGTCCCTGCTTCCAGAGCACATCCAATCCAGAAAAACTCCTGCTTTCTTCTTTAACTTTTAATATATTTTTTATTGAGTTCAGAGAGGAAAGGAGAGGGAGAGAGAGATAGAAACATCAATGATGAGAGAGAATCATTGGTTGGCTGCCTCCTGCATGCCCCCTACTTAAGAAGCAAAGTCCCAAAACCCGTGCATGAGCCCAGCCATGAGCTCCTGCATTGAGCGTCTTCCCCTGGTGGTCAGTGCACATCATAGCGACTGTCATTCCGCCATTTGGTTGGTTTGCATATTAGCCTTTTATTATATAGGATTCTTAGTGTTCTCTCTCCATTCTTTCAACAAGAACTATTGACCAGCTACTTTGTGACAGCCACTTTTCCAAATGCTTGTGACATAGCAATGAACAAGCCACAGAGGAAAAATCTAGTGGGAACAGATGGATCACAATCAAACAAACAAACAAACAAAAAGATAATTTCAGATACTATACATTCAATGGGGGAAAAATAAGGTAGGGCACTAGGATAGGTGATGAGGGGTAGAGGGAGAGATGTTATTTTAGGCAGGAGAGTTGAGGAAGGACCCTCAGAGGAAGGAGTATTTTAGCTGAGTTCTGATGGATGAGAACATATCAGACATGTGAAAACCAAGGAAAGAGCATTCCAGACAGAGGTAATGCCATGTGCCAGAGCCCTGATGCAGGAACATGATGGGTACATTTCATAAACAGAGGAAGGTCAGAAGGCACAGCTAAAGCAGAGATGGCGGTGGGTAATTGGAGAGGCAGAACACACTAGGTATAATGGGCTTTGTAAGGAGTTAAAAACAATTTTTAGATATTTTTATTGATTTCAAAGAGAGGAAGGGAGAGGGAGAGAGAGATAGAAACATGAATGATGAGAGAGAATCCTTGATCGGCTGCCTTCTGCCCACCCCCTAACTTAAAGAAGCAAGCCCCAAAACCCATGCATGTGCCCTGACCTGGAATTGAACCCTGACCTCCTGGTTCATGGGTCTATGCTCAACCACCGAGCCACAACAGCCAGGCAGGAGTTAAAATTTTATGCAAAGGGCAACGGAAAGTCATTTGATGAGACAGTGTATCATAAGTTCCTAATGAAGTGTTAAGCATATACTAAGTGCCCCATGAATGTCCATCGCCTCCCTAACGTGGAATGAAAGAGTAGTCCAGTGTTTCCTTTTTCCTTTTTAGGAATTTGTTTTATTTCATAGACAACAGTTCATTGCATTTGGATGTTTTCAAAAACAATGATGGCAAAAGAAAATTATTAATGCATGCTTCATTTCCTGGCTGGTCAATTTTAGCTTCTTTCTCTGCACTCGTTGAATCATACCGTTCAGCTGTTGTTTTCATTCTTCAAACAAGAGCTGATGTGGTGTGATGGAGAGAGAAGATGTGTGTGACTGAAATCTGTCTGATAAGAAAAAGAAAGCAGAAGACAGGAGAACATGGGGCTAAATCCATTTTCATGGTGTTTCTTCCATAAAAGGCTGCCCACAAAAGTTTGCCAAACTGAGTTTTATTTTTGTTTTTTCTCTTTTTCCCCGTTGACATACTGCGAGATGATTGCCTCAGCTCTGAGTAACACATTTACACGCAGCAATCTCAGCAACAGAAAGGGGTATTTTCTCCCTTCCTGTCCCTTTTCATTTAAAAAAAATATATATATATATATGTTCTTTGTTGGTTTTTAGAGATGGAGGAAGGGAGAGGGATAGAGAGAGAGAGAAACATCAATGAGAGAGAAACTTGATCAATTGGCTGCCTCCTGCATGCCCCCTTGTGGGGATTGAGCCTGCAATCCAGGCATGCACCCTGATCAGGAATCCAACAGTGACCTCTCGGTTCCTGGATTGATGGTCCATCACTGAGCCAAACCAGCCGGGCCTTTCTGTCCTTTCTAAAGCTGGACACTTCCTCTCGCATTTCATTGGCCAGAATTGGGTCACATGCCCCGGCCTGATCCAATCACTGAGAAGGTAAATAGGATGGTTGCAATGGGCTCTGATAAGTTTCAATTTACCCCTCAATCATGATAGGGAGTGTAGGATAGACTCCTAAACAAAACTGGGGCTTTGCTGGGAGGGGGGAAGGGGGGGGAATTAGTGGGGGAAGAGGAAAGGGGAATAATTAATATCTATTTAATTGGTAGTTTAATAGATATACAAATGTGTCTCAGTATCTCATTGTGTTCTGGATTAGGCTTCCAGCTGCCTTGAAGATGGGCCTGGACATACGCTTTGGCCAATAAAACGTGAATAAAAATGAAATATAACTTAGAGGCTCTGTGAGTTCTGGTCTGCTTGGAGTCGGGAGTCAGAAGTCAGGAATACGGGACTCATTATGGGGCACGCTTGAAAGATACAAGAGAAAAGGATCAGAAATGGGCAGGAAAGCCTTCATGCTGCATTGCAGGTCTGACCCCCCTGGGGGCAATAAGAAGAGATATCTGCTGAAACCGGTTTGGCTCAGTGGTAGAGCATTGGTCTGCGGACTGAAAGGTCCCAGGTTCGATTCCGGTCAAGGGCATGTACATTGGTTGTGGGCACATCCCCGGTAGGGGGTGTGCAAGAGGCAGCTAGTCGATGTTTCTCTCTCATCGACGTTTCTAGCTCTCTATCCCTCTCTCCTCTCTGTGAAAAATCAATAAAATACATTTTAAAAAAAGAGAGAGAGAGAGAGAGAGAGAGAGAGAGAGAGAGAGAGAGAGAGAGAGAGATACCTAAAGAGGACTGGGTAGAAAGAAGCTCTGAGCTTGCTGCAGCTCTGGGCAAGTCTTGGCCAGGGCCATTGGGAACTTTCAAAGCCGATT